TTTGGGCACCTTCTCCTTTTTTGCCCTGGTTGGGGATCCCCTCTCCTTTTTTGCCCTGATTTTGGGCACCTTCTCCTTTTTTGCCCTGGTTGGGGGTCCCCTCTCCTTTTCTGCCCTGGTTGGGGGTCCCCTCTCCTTTTCTGCCCTGGTTGGGGGTCCCCTCTCCTTTTTTACCCTGGTTGGGGGTCCCCTCTCCTTTTTTGCCCTGGTTGGGGGTCCCCTCTCCTTTTTTGCCCTGCTTCTGGGTCCCCTCTGCCTTTTTGCCCTGATTTTGGGTCCCCTCAGCCTTTTTCCCTTGGTTCTGGACCCCTTCTGCCTTTTTGCCCTGGTTGGGGGTCCCCTCCACTTTTCTGCCCTGATTCTGGGCACCCTCTGCCTTTTTGCCCTGATTCTGGGTCCCCTCGGTCTTTTTGCCTTGGTTGGGAGTTCCCTCTGCCTTTCTGCCCTGGTTCTGTGTTCCTTCCAGCTTTCTGCCCTGGTTAGGGGTTCCCTCTGTCTTTTTGCCCTGAGCTGTGCCAGTGGCTGGGGCACTGGCCTTTGCGCCCACGGGGGGCACAGCCACCATAGGCACCTCCTTGGGAGCAGCTTCCAAGACAGCAGCCTTCGAGGTGAGAACCTGGATGGAATTCACTATAGGACTGAATGCTGGTTCCACCTTTGCCACTTTTTTCTCCTTCTTCTTTTTGTCTTTAGGGGAGGGGGCTGGCTTTTCTTGGGGCATGGCTGGTACTGTGGCTACAGGGGTAATAACCATGTGGGACTGGACGGGGGTTGGCGTCACTGTCACAGAAGAGGCCCGCACTGTTTCTTTGAGAAGGATGGTCACATTGGGGGCTGGCTCGTGCTCAGGTATCTTCCCGTTGGGTTTCTCTTCCTTTTTCTTGGTCTTTCCTTTCTTCTCCACTGTTTTCTCCTTCTTTTTCTTCTCCACTTTCAGGTGATGAGTTTTCGCCATCTCCTTGCGCTGGTTCGCAAGGGCTTCTTCATACGACGTCTCCTTCATGGAGAAAGTCGACACTAGGAAGATGCCGATGGCAGAGACAACCATGAATCCGCCAAACACCACGACCCCCAAGGTCTGCGTGTCGTAAATATCCATCCTGGCTTGCTTTCCTTTCACCTGTCAAATACATACACAGAGATTAATCTTGTGTCGAAATGGAGGCATTGGGCAGTTTCCAGCCCCACTCCCTGCACCAAACTTAAGGTTCCATTAATTCTTTCTTCAGACTTATAAATTTAGAAAAGAAGCAAACACAGGTAATCTCTGATGTCATGCATTACTGCCTGCCCCTCTTTAGAAGTGAGCAATTTTTACCCAAGCCATGGGAAGTCCCTATTAGTGGCGGGAGATACGAAGTAACAGTAGAGAGATGGCAATGTGTTCACTGGGGCAGGTAACATCCAGCAGACTCAGAGGTCAGTATCTCAATTCAAGATGTTCTCCACCACACATGACCACAAGTGCAGACCAGGTGTGGGACAATGCGGAGTGGCAGGGACAGGGGCAAAAATGTCCCACCTGAATTAGGGAGCAGGTGCCACCCAGCCATAGTCGAATGTTGAGGAAATGTGGGCACGGTGTTGATGGATCTTTTGATTTTTCACGTTAGGCCAGAAATTTTCTTCCCTCAACGTGAAATCGACTGATTGAAAAAAACACCACGAGCCACCTAATATCTATCTGTAGGCTTTTGGCCACGTGCATTCTGGCCAGCAAGTGCCCAGTGTGCCATCTCTGCTCTGCTGCCTCCCTCTCCCCTAGTGCCATAAACTACTCAAAGACCTTTCCATCATGATCCTGAAAAGTGATCAAAAATTTGGGAGGGAAAATGGTCTTTTGCCAATGATAACTCTTAAGGAGTCTTAGAAGCTGCAATTACGTACTGGGAAACAGGAAAATCGGTCTTGGAGAGCCCATCAAATGACAGATTCCATGTCTGGAATCACACAGAGGGGAGAGAGAAGGGGCCCTGTGCCTGGTGACACACCCTGAACCTAGAGGATGACCCGCCCACCAAAGTCCAAAGGGTCCCAGGCAGCCAGGTCACACCTCCTTGGCTGACAGCCCAGGTTACATTCGACTTCAGGGAAAGCGTCAAGAGATGCCTCTGTTTATTTATTTGTATACATCCAGGCTTTATTAACTACCGTTGATGCTATTACCACATTCCCAGTCCCCTGAACTGGAAAGAGTGAAAAGCAGAGCCTAGCTCCCCCAAAGAAAATTGGCGATGGAATCAGTGAACAGAACGGGAGCACGGGAAGGGTGGATGAGGGTGGTGGAAAGGAGGAGAGGGGATGGGCCTCCTCTGGCATTACCCTCCAAGGTCTTGAGATGCTGTGTGTGGTAGGTCAAGTCTGGACTTGTTAGTGGCTTAAAAGCTGAGATTACTTTTCCAACTGGAGTGGGGGAGAGAAATAAGAGTGGGAATTGCTAAACAACGACCATGAAATCCAAATTCTGACATTACAGCATTTGAAAGAATTTTAACTGTCTAGGCATTATGTTCTCAGAAAATCACCCTACCACAAAACACACAATTTCGCTGTCCCTTTCTAACAAAAACCCTTACAAGAAGGGGGTTTCATGCCTTCGCTATGAGACCTTCCCACCACCAGCTCTCTCCACGTTGACAGCTACATCACCTACAGCTATAATGTGTACTTCACCCTCAGTGTGCCAGACCCACATCAAGCTTTTCATTGTGGTTGTAACCTCTGCAAATGAAATGTGCCGTGAGCTTGTGAAGGCCTTCTAATCCTAGGCAACGTAGCATTTATGTTTTCAAGTGGATTCTGACCTCTGGCCATAGGTATGGAGAGCCGTGATTCAGAGCAAGGGCTCCCTCATATATGATAATCAAGAGAGGGCGTCACAAGTTAACCTTACCAGGAACACACACGCGAGCTAGGAATTGAAAGAGAAATCTGCGCCCTGCTCAGCCTTGGATCAACCCAGCAACAGGGCAGGGAAAAACAGGCTCGAAATGTTCTATGGTCAACCCCCATTCCTTGTGGGAATCCACCAATGGTAACTCTAGGTCCTCTCAAGGACCTCTTAGATCTTCACTAAAGGGGACCCGTTCAGGAACAAAAACCACATTATAACCACTATATCCAGCTCTATTCGGATGACAAAATTCCTTTAAAACATTCCCCTTCTCCAGAGGTCGACTAACACCAGGGGCCTGGGTCACCCTGGCCAAGGCTCCGTGACAGTTATGTGCTTGAGGGGTGGTCTCCGAGGGAGCCGCCCTCGGCAGCGGTCACCAGACCCAGGCGCCCTGGGCGACCACCTACCAAGTGTGGCGGGTGCACCCGAGGACTGCACAGCTCTGTTTCCGCTCATGGTTTACAGCTTCTAAGCTTGGGCAGAAAAGCCAGGGTTGGAAAACCAGCCTTCAATCTCAGCCAAGTTGGGCAAACATGTGATACAAAAATACTTCCTCTGTTGGGAGCACATTATGGAGAAAAGCAAACTTGGGAGAAGACATTCCCTCTGCTATCCACACAAATGTATGTTTTATGGCAGCACAAATGCTGTCTCCCAACTTGTGCAGAGCGGGTTGCTTAAAAAATTACATCCCCACCACTAATTCCTGAGTTAGAATATTTTAAATGAAATCTTTCACAGGAACATGAAAAGCCCTAGTCTTAACATTTAAGGATAAGACAAGATCACTAACACCAAAGAAATCTAAATGAAAAACAGCCTTTCTGCTGCTCTGCTGAGGCAGGCTGAGCAGAGTGTAAACCCTGTGCTAGGAGACGCTCACCCGGAGGAAGGATAAACCCAGATATGCCTCTCCAATACGCTCTTGAGATCCACATTCCCCACTCTGATAAAAGGACTTGCATTAGCGATCTCCCCTGGGGTTCCCTCAAGTGCCATGCTCGCGTGGACAAAGAATTAGGCCAGATGTGGCCTACCCACACCTTGTACAGCCTAATCACAAAGAACCTACCTTTGGTAAATTCCAGAAACGTCTATGATACACGTAACTTTACTTACTTGTTATTGCTACCCTTATGCTGGTGTATGCTTAGGGTGCAAGGCAAAAAGATAATAAAAAGACCCACAAGAGGAGGACGTAGGCTGTACCCAGAGCTGCGGCAGTGGGGGGAGGGCTGAGGGGTTACTTAAAGGCTGAACTGGCTGAAACCCACCTCTAGTGTTCTGAGGTGAAGTGTTTAACTCAGGAGAATGGCTGTTCTGTTCTTAGAGGGTAAGAACTCAGAGAACAAAAATAAGTGGAAGCCCCATCCTCCTTGGACATGGAATACATTTGTTAACTCTCGTGGTCCCAACAAAGCCAGTTCAGTCCACTTTGGCAATGGCAATGTGGGTAGGTTCTGTGAAAGGACCCTCACCAGCAAGCCAGGGACCTGGTCTCATCACTAACCAACTGCTCCATTCGGAGAGGCCAAGTGGTAGGACTGTGCTGGGGGGTGCGGGGTGTTGCCAAAGAGAAGCTTCCAATGGATTTTCTGGGCACACATTGACTTATCAGGAAGGTACAAAAATAAAACAGAATGATAATAAAACAGACCCGGTTGATATGGCTGTATCACTAGATTCTAATTTTTAAGTATTATGAAATATTTCAAACATAGAAAGAGTAAAGAGGAAAATACCATGAGTGTCTACTGACCAACCACCCAGGATTTAACAAATCCTAAAATTTTGCCACATTTATTTCAGATATTTAAAAAAGAAATAAAGCATCATCTCTCCTTCCAGAGAGAACAGACCCTGAATGTGTGTCATTCACCATTTCCATTAGGGTTTGTGCTCCATATGCAAAATATAACATTGGTTTGCATGCTGGTAATTGTTATGTAAATGATATATCACAGGTGTTATTGGGTAACATTTTTTTGGAGAGGGCTGAACTTCGTTTCTGAGATTTGTAAAGATACACATAGCTTTAGTCCATTGTTTTAACTCCTATATTGTATAACAAGGCCACAAATAACTATCCATACTCTTATGATGGGCACTGAAGTTTGGGTGTTCTGCTATTCACATTAAACTGTATACCAGCACCCCTGTGCCCATGTGCACAAATTTATTTAGGAGATACACCTAGAACTAGACTTTTTGGGTCACAGGGTAGCACAGCTACTGAACCAGATGTGGCCAAGTTGCTCCCCAGGGTGGGCATGCCCGTTTATGTTCCCTACAGCAGTGCAGCCAAGGCCCTCCTTTCTCCACATCTCCAACATTTGCTTTGTCAAACTTTAAGAAAGGAGCCAGTCAGACGAGTGTGAAAGGGCATTTCCATGTTTACTGGCCTTTCAGGCCTCTTTTATTGGTGTTACCTGTTCAGTCTTTGCCCATTTTTCTACTGTGTTGCCATTTTTTTTTATTCTGATCTGTAGGTGTTCTTTACGTATTTTGAATATGAATCATTTGTTGTTTTAGATGTGCTGAAATGTGTGGTTTCTTTTTCAACTGCTGTGTTGTATTGTTTGATATAGAAGTTTTTTCTTTATTTTGACATAATCAAATTTACTATTTGCCTTTATGGTTTGTCATTCTTAATAGCTTCTGCCAAAGTCATAAATAGAACCTGTCCTACTTTTTTTTTTTTTTTTTTAGGGAAGACAGTGTCCCTTTCCTATAAATAATTGTTCATTTATGTTTGATAGAAGCAATGCATTCCTAAAGGTCAAAACTCAAACAGAACTAAGAGGCGTGCAGTAAAAAAATCTCCCGGAAGCCCCTGACCACAGCCACCCAACTCCTTCCTGAAGGTAACCATAGAGGTCACTTTATGTTTAGAGGTTATTTTCTTCTGTAAGCTCCAGAGTAACATTCTAGACCATTAGATTTGTAATCACCTGGAACTTTTGTATATGGCAGAATGTACTGTTACAACTTTCCCCATCAGTTTAATCACCCAGCACCATTTCCTGACTATTCTTTCCCCCATAGACTTACAGTTATCTCTGTAACATCAAATTTAAAAGATGCATCTATCAGTTTCTGGACTTTACACTTCGTTCTACTGGTATACTTATCTATGCCCTGCGTGATAACCATATTCTTGGCCTCTGTATCCACCCAAAAGAACTCTACTGGAATTTTTATTTGAATTACACTAATTTATAGAT